CAAAATAGATTCAAGCCTTTGTTAGCGAGTTTCAATTGAGTTGTGTCCAACTGGATATTCGGAGGTATTTCATAATTGATATGCATTATATGAATGCCCACTTTATTGCTTTACTATGCCATTCACAATTTACAAGCGATTGTATATCCTGCAAATGAGCAGAGCGAGGGGTATGATAAATGGGCAGGGTGTGCGAAAGAATACATGACCATAAATATTTAGGTTAATAGTATATAACGTGAACTTTAAGATATGATATGGTTAGGTTTAAATGTTTCAAGATACATTGGGATACACAGAAGTTATTTGAGAAGCTTTAATTAATACATAAATGTAATATAAATCTAGAGAAAGTTTAATGCAAAATTTCAAATATATATCGTTCTGCAATAATCTTCAATTGAGTACGAAATCTTTAATCAAGCACTGAAAACCTGGAATTCCATGTTTGAAAAAAGGCAAAAAATAAAAGTTAGAATAAAATGAAAAGAAAGATCTTTAAATTAGAATAATTCTTGATAAATAATTGTTGCCTGAGCTTTTTCAGCTCCTAGACTGCAGCATAATAGGCCACAATTACAGGGTATTTTCTCATCAATTCACCCGCGCTCGGTCATGCTGACTTGCTTGTTGTTATGTGACTTTGCTATTTTTATGCCTTCCAAACTGATAAGCCATAATGGCTGATATATACGCAATATACATAATGCTCACAGGCAAACAAATACATAGATATATACAGATATACAGATATATATATAAATAGGCCCAATCGTACAAATATGCAGCATATATGCATATATCCATGACTCACTGTGCAGGAAAAACCAAAAAATCTTTGATATTGTATGCGTGTGTTTTTCCCAGTAATATATTTCCCATATGTAGATATTTAGACGGACTAAATGTAACGTAAAAGCTCGTTAATGTTTAGTTTTTCTCTGCTTTTCTTTTGCAATACTCTTGCAGAGGGTATTCGCATTTCGTTGTGAGATGTCAATTAACTTGAAACTCTGCTAAGGTCCATATGTCTGCCGGATCGGACGACTTTATAATATCCATAGAAGAAATCGGTCGACAAGTAGGAAAGCTTTCTTGTTTATCAAGATATCTTAAACAAACTCAGAATTTAAAAGTTGTACTATTATCTCCAAGATTGTCCACATCGAAGCACTATATCATATAGCTGCAATAGGAAGGATGCCTACATCTGAGCCGAGTCCTAAGGAAGAATCTATAGGAAGAATCGTTCGAGAAATGAGTTTTTGTACTTTCATTAAACTCTGCATTTGCGAGCTTCACTTTTCTCACATATCACCCAAATTGCAGGGCAAATGTCTCTAAGGGTATTAAATCTTCGGCGTGTGGAACTTATGCTTAGTTTCACACTATTTTTTTTTTTTTTTTGGCATACGTAAATTCAGTTTGTAGTTCTTCCGGGATTCAGTTTGTTGTTTGTGGGCGCTAATAAATAGAATTTTCAACAGATTTCCAAAATATTTACGAGCTACGTCAAAAGAAAATGTTCTTCGTCTACATTTCCATTAGTATGAGAAAACACGATTGTTGTTTTGAATTTTCTAAAATTTTCTGCAATTTGTAAATGTTTTCAATACCGAAAACTGTTTGTCAATTGGTTGCAGAGGAAGGTGGAGGGGGGGGTTGCGTTTTCACAATAAATTTCATAATTAATAAATGAGGCTGGTCTGAAGGGGGTTGGGGGGGGGGGGGTTAGGGTAGGGTAGGGTATCTGCTGAGAGACGTTTGGTAAGGGGATAATTTAATGCCACAATTTCCGCTGTATTTTTTCGCACTCGATTCCGGCTGGGAGCACAATGGAGTCGGGTCGGGGTCGGGGTCGGGTGCCATTGGCTCAGACAACATCGTCGCCATTTAATTAGTTGCGTGCCGACATTCGTCCACGCCTCCCACCGCTCCCGCTTGGGCAAAAACTCTTATAGCCGCGAGGCATGACATTTTTTATGCTGACCCGCAGCATATAGGGGCGGGCGGAAGAAGGTGGCGTGTTGGGGGGAGGGGTTGCTGCCGCTTAATGCAATTTGCGTTGCATTTGCCTTGGTGGCCGCCCACATGCCCCGCCACGCCCCGCCCTGCCGCCCGAGCGGCACAATGGGTTAATAAACTTTGCCCTTGTCCAGCTCAAACTATGCTATTGCAAGGGGTCCGAAGACTACACTGAGCGAAACGATCTACAACATATGCTTCAATGTTGAACTATTGAAAAATTCTATTTAAACTTTGTCTAAATTTTTGTAAGATTTGACTATATTAGGTATTCAGTATTTTGCCTTTCAAATAATTCATATTCAAGATCAGAGATTGCAATTGAATATATTTAATATTTAAAGATCGGACTTCACAGTCCGATTTTAATCAGGCGGCAAATGTTGCCTCCCGTGTGCATCTTTCCAATTCAGCATAAAAGAAGCAAGCCTGAGTAAAGTTCACTTTTATTTTGAGAAAACTTACATATTCAGTAAATTTTCTCTCAGTGCACACATATGTGTGCATAATTGCTCGTTTATATGATAATGCATGTGGCAAATGTGTGTTGCATAAGCTCCTCGGGCCGTACTCTGGAAATCGATACTTGTGCTCGTGTGCAGCAGAGCTGACTCCTCTGACAGCTTTGCTCAGGTCGTATTTACATTTATTCGGCTTAACACAAATCAAACTGAGAATGCAATTCGCGAAAATTTCACGGGCAGGGCCGTGAGAATTTGCACATTTGCACAGTTGAACCCTGTGATAGTGTCTACTTTTATACTAAATTAAAAATATGAACTATATTGGCATACTTATTTTATTACCCTTAACCTTGCTCTGAAAAAGCTTATGCCTCTTCTCGCCGAACCGTTTCAAAAGGTATTTTGGGGTTTTCCCCATTCTCTGCGAACCGGTTCAAATGTGGTTCGACTTAAAATCACTGAAAGTATTGAAATTTTGATACTTAATTGTTAAGTGCTTAGCAAGTAAACCCATCTGAACGATCTTGTTAGCTTAATTAGATTCCCTACCAGCTTTTTTTTAATTTCTCTGAACCGGTTCACAAGCGGTTCAGTCCTATAGCTAGCAAAGTACTTGAGCTGCGCACCTGAAATTGGGCGTAAAACGCAGCTGAAGTGTTCCCGCAGCAAGACCATGACTCATCCTACAGTTGCCATGGTTGCCATGGTGCCTTGCCGTTTGCAACCCTGGCATTGGGACCCGGTCAGGTTTTGCATAAAACTGCTGCGTGAACACATTTGGGCCAACAGTCAGCGTCGTGTTCTTGTGCCGTGCTAAGCTAAAACTGAAGTAGTCAATTGGCACACCAATAATCTGAATACACATGTTCGAATACATTTGCATTGGTATTTAATTCACACCTGAAATTCAAGACGGTCGGCGTGGAGGGGGGGCGGCTGCAGCTCACATATGCTGAATTGTGTTTTGTTTTTGTTGTCGCACGTGTCTCCAGCTCGCATTTAATATATTTACCCTCATATTAAAATATATATATTGGGGCACGTCCATAAAACTTAATTTAATTAAGCTGCAAATTAGAGCGCGTGTATCTGCAAGATACTCGTAAACAAACCCCCCGAGGAGCCAACAGACAAACAAATGTATCGCACCGGCAGCGGCAGCGCTCTGCTCTGTCTCGCCCAGAGCCTAACTGTTAGCCATCCCAGCAGCTGGAATCGCCACAGCAACAACAACAACAACAACAACAACAGCCTAGGGACAGAGGCCAAGGTCAGCTGCCAGCAAAAAGGCAAGAAACGTATTTTGCTCAAGGCCAGGTACGAATATTAAAGTTAAGGCCCAGAAACCCAGAGATAAACATAAACCAAATAAACAAGATAGTTAGGATATATCTGCTGCACGCCAAAAGTCCAACAATCCCACAGATTCTCACAGATTTGATAAAGCCATCAAAAATAAACAAGATAGTAAGGATATCTGCTGCCAGCCCAACAAATTTAATAACCCCGTAGATATTCGCCTTGCGATTTGGAAGATGTGTGAGAAAAGCAAAATATCTTGGATAACAGACTATTTTGCCATACATAATATATATAAATAGCGCTGAGATCTTTTTAAGATTCAGCATATAGTTTTAATGAATGAAGAAGAAGAAAGTTTTTCTTATAAGAACTTGGCTTTCCACCGATCTTTCCAATTGCAGCTATAGAAGAAGCTGAGTGAAACTTAGTTTTGGTCAAGATATCCCAATAAATAATTAAAATTTTCCATAGAACCTAATTTTTGACCGTTCCTTTCAATCATTCCTAGAGCAGCTCTATAATATAGTGGTCCGATCTGGCTGGTTCCGGCATATGTGACAGAAAGACGGAGAGACTAATTGGCAGAAAGACGCACCTGGTTATATTAACTCGACTAGAACATATATAATTGTTGAGGTCGCAAATCTTTCCATCCAAGCGTGTCGCTTTTCATGACGAAATTTTGATACTCTTTAAAAATGAACACGATAAATATATATTAGTTAACAGCTGAAACGAGTGGCATATGAAACACTGGCTTTATAGGCGAAACGAGTGAAATTGATTCGCAATTACCATTTCTTTAGTCTTCTGTCAAACCGTTTTCTAGAGTGAAAATGAAACGCTTTCCCCATTCGATAGTCTGCCAGCTGGAACGTATTGGAATTGAAACAGTGGCTTAGCTAGCGAGAAAAATACATTTTGCCACTTGATTTTGCCAAAAGTTTGGCAATAGCGACTTGCTTGGAACGCGTGGGAATTGAAACACTTCAAATGAAAATGAAACGCTTTACTCGATAATAGGCAAGACATTCAGCAGCCTCTGTCCGCTGGAACGTATCGGAATTGGAACAGTGGCTTAGCTTGATCGAAACATATTCAATTTTGTCAACTGATTTCCAAAATGCATGCTTTTGTTGGGCGTGGCTGCCGCCCAGCTGTGTGAGGTTAGGATTCCGGTGGAAAAAAAGAAAAGCAAGCGATTTGAAACTCGGGGAAAAAAACGGATTTGCTGTCACGCAATGTTTTACTTGTAGAGCACAGAACACATTTACGTTATCGACTACAATTTTTGAAAATGTTTTGTTAAAATTTTGGTTAGCTCGCTCAAAATTTGAAATCTGATACCCTGGAAAAAAAGAACAAGAGAGAGAGAGGGAGAGTGGAGAGTGAAGTGTTCCGAGACGTGGAATTGAATTTGAAAATAATTGTGAAATACAATTCAAAGGAAATGTGGGCAAGGAATTCTCTGCGAACTTGCGCTTACCACGGTTCGCTTTACGCCAATAATAAATATATATATGTATATATATATGAGACGTCTGTGTGTGTGTGTGTGTGTGTGTGTGTGTGTGTGTGTGTAATAATTAACTGAAAACAGCCGAAGGGCGCGTGATTAGAGCTCTAGTCGGATGAGGCGGGCGTATTGGGATGCCGCTTGCGTATGGCGCCGAGTGCCTCGTAGCTGATCAGAGATGTGGACGGGACCCGTGTGGCGCTGGAGCACTGCAGACGTGGACTGCTGCATAGCTTGTTGGGGGGGGCCTTGCCCATCTGCATGAGCAGCTCGTCGATGCGTTCGGTCTTCACCTTGATGATGTTCTCCATGTGGGCCAGACGCTTCTGTGTCGACTCAATGATCGCCTCCTTGGCCAGATTGTCGCGCGCCATTTTCTCGTACAGCGAATAGAGTATCATCTTTTGCGGCACCTGTACAATGCCATCGCCCACCTGTTTATTGACCACCACCGTTTTCACCTCATCGTTCTCCTCCCAAATTTGCTCCTGCGCCAATATCGCATTGCGTGTCTCAACGACACGCTGGCGCTTCTTTAGGCGCATTATCTCGTGCAGCAGCACCTCGGCGGCGCCGTGTGCTCCAGTTGAGAGTAGCTCAATGAAATCGCGACTCAATGTCAAATTGAATTTGGTCAGCACCTTGTAGTTGAACGTCTCCCAGTTGGCCACCTTTAGCTGAACGCTGCTGCGTTTTGGAAAATTATTGAGATCCACTAGACGCGGATGATCGCGTTTCATCATCTCCGCCAGCGGCAATACGTCAGAGAATTCGCGACGCAAACGATTTGTATTTATTTCGTTCTGCTGTAGCCATTTGTGCACCTCGGCGATCTCCTCGCTGTTGAGGTTCTTGCTGGTAATTGTGTGCATGCTGCTAGGCGCTACCGGACGCCCGGCACGTGGTTTCTTCTAGTTCAGAATATTTAATAAATAAATATATATATAGATATAGGTTAATACACACTGAATATTATGATATTGAGCTCGGAATGTTTTCGAGTGAGCTTCAAAAAAAAAAAAAAAAAAAACATACTCTGAAAACTGACGCAGCGTTTGCTCCGTTCGAAGCCAAAAACGTGGCCCGAAACTCGAACCAGCAAACGCCAAAAAACTAGATTTCGCCATCGTATCCAAAAGGAAAACTTTTTTCAAGATATTCTCTTATGCTTTGTTATTTGCACACATTTGATTTTCATATATATTCCCTGAAAATTTCATTACGATCGAACAATAAACACCAGAGCTATTCAGGACTGCATAATTTCCTATAAACATTGTCGGGTAAAGCACATATGGGTTTATGTTCTAAGCAGGAGCGGCAAGAAAAAGGCATATGCTCCTTTAGATTAAAGCGTTTTCCTAAAGCTTTCGCCTGATCTGAGCTTTCGCTTAAGCCAAGCTTTCGCTTAAGCCAAGCTTTTGGTTAAGCTGAGCTTTCGCCCAGACTAAGTTTTCACTGCACATAAGTTTTCGCGGAGCTTTCTTTGCGCTGTACTTTCACAAAAACTCGACAACATTTGTTCACATTAATGCTAAAACTCCGTGAGAATTACAAACGAATTTAATGAATGGGTTAATTTATTTGAAATACACTTGGGAGCATTATATATCTATATATATATATATATATGCTGTTTTTTTTTTGTCTCTGTTTCAAGAATTTCGAGTTGGCCGAAATCGTGTGTGTGTGTGTGTGACCGTGTGTGTGTGTGTGTGTATGTGTGCGTGTGTGTGTGTGGAATCCAACATGGCGTTTGCCTAAAAGGGTTATCACAAATCAAATGGCATTAATGGACCCAAAGGAAGCAGCGCAGCGTACTAGCTGTCGAACAGATGCAACATGATTATAGGCTATCTATGTGCGAAGTGTGAGGAATGTCCCTTTGGGCATGTTTGGGTGTGTGTGTTTGTCTCTGTATGTGTGTGTGTGTGTGTGTGTGCGTCTGGTACTATAACCTTTTGACGGCCAACTTGAGCATGCCGCCAATTGTATTGGCCAACTGCATATTGCGTTTCTTGAGCCTCGCCCGCCGATGGCCCATGCGCAACGGCTTGTGGCGACTCGAGAGCGCGGCAACGGCCACCTGACGTTGCAGCTCATCGATGCGCTCGCATTTCAGTTGCAACATGTTCTCCAGATGGGCGCTCCACTGATTGAAACGCTCGATTTTAGCGTTTTTTCGCTGCAGCTGATTGACGGCCTGCATATAGATGGAATAAAGTACCATACGTTGTTTGGGTAGCTCACAAAGTTGTTCACCTCTTTGACGCTGCGGATGGCTCAGCTCCCGGCTGCTGGCACCGGACATTGTCAGCTGTTGCCTCTTGTTGCGACCAGTCGATGCACCTCCGCCTCCACCTCCGCGTGCAGCACCTGCAACAGCTGCCGCTTTCACACTCACCGCTGCAGCGGCAGCACGCTTCAATGGCGACGCCGGCGTCTGTTTCAGGTTCCGGTTAACCGTATCCATGCCCACGCCCATTGGCTTGACTCTGGCCTTGTCTGCTTTTTTGTCATCCGGCTCGCCGGCCGACTGCTTCTCGTCCGCATCGATGTCCTCGTCTTCGCTGCTGGGCCGCTCCTCGCGCGCCTTGCGCTCCGCCGCCATCTGGACACGCATCACGCTGTACAGCAAGAGATCAACAGAGCCGGGCACGCTGCGTGCCACGCGCACCATCTGATCGCGTGTCAGCTGGAGGCCGAGGCGTGCCAAAACACGCTTATTGAACGATTCCCAATTGCACAGCTTATTCTGGACACTGTTCCGCGGCGGATAATAGTTGAGATCAATCATTTCCGGATAGTAGCGTGACATTAGCCGTGCCAGCGGCAGCACGTCCGTAAACGAGCGCCGCAAATTTGACGAATTTATACGGTTCTCCTCGAGCCATTGGTTCAGCTCGTATTGCTCTACGGCGCTGAGCGAGGTCCTCTTCACGCTGCTCGACTGTTTCGGCATTTTGCGCCTTCGCTCTTCCTTTTGCCTTCCTTTTGCCTTTTCTTTTGCGTTTTTCCTCGCAAATCTTCTGTTGGTTCTCGTTATTTAACTTGATTTGGTTTTTTCTCCTTGTTTTTTTTTTTCTCTGGTTTTGTTTTTTGTTTTATCTTTTCAACTTTTCCACTATGATCTTGAATTTAAATTGGTCTCTGCCACTTTTTGCAAAATTTTAAAACTAAATATGTAAAAAAAAAAAAAAAATGAATTGAAACACGTTTACAACTTAAATTTATTACACTATGCCAGTGCTCTGTGTGCTGTTCCCCAAAAGCAACTGACAATCCGTAAATGTCGCAGCTGACGTACGGCTCGATTGTTAACCAAAAGCTGACTAGATTTCTCCCAAGTCCAAGCTCTCTTACTCCGAAAAGGAGAACTCTTTCTTAACTTTGCCTGGGCAAAACTTTGTCAGCGAGCCTCAAAGTTGTTAATTACAAATTTTCTAAAGTTTTCAATTTTAAGGGTTGCCAAGCTTTCAATGGGTTACACCAGAGTTGCATGTTTAGTGTGGCCAAAGTTTTCAATAACTAGTTTAAGGGTAGCCACAGTTTTTGAAAAACGTCTCTCGCGTTGTCTGAGCTTAACTTCAAGTGTTTACAAAAGTTTCTGAATACCGATCTCAATAGGGTTGTCAATGTTTTTGAAGACCATTTTTACCAAAGGTTACCAAAGTTTGTAAATAATTGTATTGTTTGAGTCTATAATTATATCTGAACAATAATTTGTAATAGGGTTGTCAGCATTTTTGAGCTTGTAGATAATTGTACCACTTAGGTTTCAATAAGGGTTGTCATCTTTCTTAAGAATCATTATTTAGGCTTATCACAACGTGTAAATAAAGGGTTTAAAAGGGTTGTCAACCTCTCTGATCATCATTTCTTACTAGAGTTGCCCAGGCTTGTGAATAATTATAGTTCTAGGGTCGCCTACAATATCTAAAGAGCTTTCCTTCTAAAACGTTTGTCAACGCAAATAGTCCAGCCTTGAGACTTTCACACGGCCTGCCAGAGTTGCGCAATATCAAACCCTCTAAGAAATTCACAATTATCATAATGCTCGTGAAAGTTTTTAACATCTGGCTGAGAATAAAAAGCATTATGGCAAAAAATGCAAAAATGCATATATAATTTTTAATGAGCCGTCTCCCTCCTCGGCAAATTAGCCAATTTGTGGGGCAGTTGCTCGCGTCGCTAAAAAGAGCTCATGAAATATGCAACCACAACTGTCATCGATGCCCGCCAGGCACAACAGGATGTGGCGAGCGGGGAGTACAGGGTATGCGACGTGGCACGTCAGGACATCCGGCAAAGTCTCAATGCATTTGAATAATTCAGGAGACGAAATCGATGCCTGCAAATGGCGCATTTATGGTCCGATAATAGGCTCAAATTATATATATATATATATATATATATATATGGATGCCTTATAAATCGTTGCTCGTGTTAAATTTGAGCCGATTATCGGACCATAAATGCGTCATATATATATATATATATATTTATATATGGATAAATGGATTGATTGAGAAACTTGCTGGACGTTAATTAGTTTGCGTGCTGCACGCTCTTCGCCTCAATTAGCAAGGCAAATAACTAATTGCAATTCATAAATATAGAATAAGCATAAACGTTACAAGGCCTTTTCAATCCGTTTTGATACGATATGCGACAAATTTAAAAAAAAAAGAGTGGAAAAAATACAGCATCTGTAGCAAATTTCTGCGAAAAAGCTCAACTCTGCGTCGAGTACCAATAGAACGAGAATTGAGATAAAGAGCTATATCTGAGAGCATTTCACACGCTTTGATTGGATGCCACAATTCCAGCCGCATCTGTGGAAAACTCGTGGAAGAACCACCTTTTATGGGTGGAAAATAAGATAATGGATAAAGATTGGATATGCCAAATTTCGGGTTGAATTTCGGCTCAGTTCCCCAAGTTTTTCAGTTGAGACATTCTACACACTTATTCCCCCCAAATCCAGCTTCGACTTCGTAGAATATAGAAAAAATTAGTCCGGGCAAGGCCGGATAATGCATGCGAGTCGCTTACATAAGCCAAGGCAACTTTAGCCAATTCACTTTGCCAATTTTCGATATTTTTATGTAATAGCAACTTGGTCCGGGCAAGGCCGGGTAATTCACGGCTGTCTGTTGTTGAAGCTAAGAGGACTTTCTGTTATTCAATTTGCCCACTTTCGATATTTTTATGCATATTATTAAGTAGCATATATATATATTTTTTTTTTTACATATATTTAGATATAGATTCTTACGCATCTTCACACACAAGAAAAATATACACACACACGCACACACACACACACACAGATAGCCACAAGCAAAGGCGCGACTTGCTTTGGTTTTTGCGGCGAATTCGTTTTTATTTGTCGCCGCCTAAAAGCATGCAACTGTTTTCGCTCACGCACACACGCACAGACACACAGACACGAATTGCTCGCTTTAGCTTTTGTGGCACATTACTCATGCGCCGCGTTGGCGTTGATTAACCAACAGATCGACAGGCAGCGTTGTTTGCACAGTTGCGACAGGTGGCAGCAACGGCAGCAGCCAAGGCAGCAGCAAGGGCAACAGCAACAACAAATGCGGCACCGATGTACGTGCAACAGGTTCCATGGCAGCGCAGCAGCTGCCAGCAGCAGGACAAACAGCTGGTGACAACCCTAGAGCAGCAGCCGCAGCAGCAGCAACAGCAACTCTAAGCGTACAACAACAACAACAACAACAAGAACATCAGCTGCAACAGCGACGTCAGCAATACGCTGCACAGTTATCCCTGCCGGAGACATTCGGCCCGGAGCACAGGTGAGCCACACCAATTAGCTACCTGTTTGAGTGTGTGCGTGTGCGTGTGTGCGTGTGTGCGTGTGCGTGTTTGTAATTGGCTTGGCAATTGGTCCAATATGTCGATAAGATACAGCTAAAGCGCAGTTTCTGCACACCTGTCGGCTAACGGCTTATCAATGGGCATGTGTTTTCTTGTTGTTGCTCTTGTTGTTGTTGTTGTTGTTGTTGTTGGTTTTATTTTGTTTGCCAGTCAGGTGGGCGGCTGGTCACACGATGCGGCACTCGCGTTGATAAACCGAACGTTTCTTAGAAAACATCCAAAATCGTCAATGGCCAAGTATTCAGCTCGTAAAAACTCGATTGAGCCACTTGCTAAACGCCATGCCCCCCGTTAAATGCCGCCCAAGGCCTACGAACAGGGTCAGGCAGGTGTGTTTGCCAGCAGCTGTCTGGGGCAGACATTCAACAACATAGTTTACTGCTACAGACAGCTGCGACAGCCTTATCAATTTGCCCAGACAAACAAGTCTATTGATAGCCTCTAAGACAAGACTAGAGACTACCAACGAGTCAGTTTCAAATAAGTTACAATAAACACAGTCGGATTGTATGCTAATAGACTTGATCATAAACTTATTTGTTATCTTACCTCAGCGAGTAATCACACGCTGACTGCTCACTCGCCAAATGTCCTTAAAATGCTTTTGCAATATTTTGTAAGATATTCAAGCGAGTAGTTTACTCGTCACTCGTTACTATTTAGAGAATGTAAGTCGCGTTTCCATTTGTTTTGTAGCTTGTACACGCTGGGTTTTTGCTACTTCTCGTTACAAACTCTTGTAGAAATCGACAAACTTGCAAGCGACTTGATTAGCCATTTCGTTTTAGTTAGTTTCTGACGAGTGTGTGTAACTAAGCAACCATACAATATCGTTTTTCACTTGTAACCCACATTCGAATTGAAAACACAAGAACTTTTGCAACATTTCAGCGAGTAGTCGTCACTCGTTCCAACATATCAGCGAGTACTCGTCATAGTCGTCTCTTACTACTCGTTAGAGTTATGTGTGCCAGCGAATGCTTTAACATTTAGTTTGTCACTCCGACTTGTAACTGTTGTACTAGGAACCCCTCGGATAGCCGATGAGTCATTACGGCGTAAGTGCGTAAGCAACTGGCTGGTCACTCTGGTCTCTGGCACACATCACTCGCTGCTTGCCGCCATCAAATGCCGAGTGACACATTCGAGCGAGTAGCTTACTCAGCTCACTTCTGAAAGAAAAAAAGAGAATAGATAACTCTTTGATCAACACAGGTGGCACGTGTGGCCAAACATATGTTGTTAAATATTTATACAGAATTGAACACTATTTATTTATGTTTGACTTTCAACTTAAAACACAATTGCATGCATATTGCTCGCCCGCCCCCAAAACCGTGTTTGATAAGGCCAACTGATGATTCATGCGGCTCACATGGAAGGCTCCCCAAACGCAGTGATAAAATCAAAGAGGGTAACGCGTGCCAAAGCTGCGGCCCACCCTCCCTTTATAAATACGCTCCGACATGTCGTTGAATGAGTCAGAGACGCGGGACTCAACAGGTTGCCAATTGAACAAACAATTAAATGTCAACTAGCAGCGCATAATCAATGTCAGCTATTTTATGGAGCACTCGAAAGTGTTGTGCGATGAATAATGGGCGCCCCATACAGTTTGGCCCTTAACAGGACTACGGAACTCACCCATCCCCTTCTCTGATCACCTCTCACCTGCTTGCCACTCGAGAGCTGTTATCAATGTTTGGGCAAAGACAAAGAAGTCCATTGATAAAATCTACTTATATGCACGTGATTATGTAAGAGTATAAGAGAATTTATGTACGTATAAGAAGAAGAGTATAAGAGGCAGCCGAAACTCTTGTGCGCTCTCTTCGCACAATTTCGAATAATAACTGATAATTAAATAATTAATTGACACTTCATCCGTTAATTTGAAAAGGCAAAGAAAACAAAAACAAAAGCAAATTGCGAACAGAATTTTAAATTTAACAATTAACTAATTGTGATAGAACCAAGTACTATCTCAAGGCGTCTGTAATCACTGAAAACAGTAGAAAAAAATAAAATAAAAGCAAAACAAAGCACATTCACATGCTCATAATATGCCCTGTAGCATATGCGCTGCCAGGAACGGGTATCTCGTTTAATACGCAACAACTGTAAAGAGACTTGACTGTAGTCAGCATGTATTATACGTATAATCTCTCTGATATTGACATTAAATCACATCTATTAAATGCCTATCAATAATGCTATATAATATAATAATGCATATTTGAATATTAAACTTGTAATAAATGTAATTACCTATGCTTAAAATAAGCATGGCAACAACTTAACACAGCTCACAACAGCGCATCGAATTATATTTTAGCCCCTCACTGTTAACCTTAACAGCCTGTCGAGGGTATAACATGCGTTGATCAACAGCCTGTTCCTTGTTGTTGTTGTTGTTGTTGTTGTTGCGCTCCCCCGGACTGACGCGTGTTATAAACAAACGGCGAATATCACAGCACAACCGTTGCCGCTGCCGCTGCCGCTGCCGACGCTGCTGCTGCTATCGTCGACGCCGGTAATGGTAATGGTAATGGTAAATGCCCAACGGCAGCTGCTGCTGTTGCTGTTGCCGGCGCTGTTAAACGTTTCAGTTAACGCGAGACGCTGGCGCACAGCACGACCAGCGACGGACGACGCATCCGAAACAGAATAAATAAAAGCAAAGAGGAGCAGCAACAAGAAGAGAAGCACAGTTAACAGTTTGACAGTTGTATTGCTGCCAGCGCAGTCACAGCTTCGGTTACAGTTACAGTTTCTGTTTGCATTTCGAATGCAATCGACAATCGGCGCGTGTGTTAAATATCTTACCTTTTTTTTTTTTGTGCTTGTTGTGTGCTGTGTCTAACTAAAACGAATTTTAACGTAAAGCAAACAATAATGAATGTAGGGGATAATCCGCGCAGCAATGGCCGACTCAGCGTCTACTTTGAACAGGATCTTGTCGCAGACGCGGGCACAGCAGCAACAGAACGCGTTAATATTCGCAGCGCGGCGAATGATTCACTGCAACTGCCCGTTGTTGACAACAACAACAATACCAACAACAACAACAATAACAACAACAATGAGAGCATTGCAAACGATGCGCTCAATGAGAGCAACGATTATAACAATATCACACATCCGCCGGTGGTTAGACGCCGTCAGAACAACACACGCTCACTTTCCCGTTCCCGCGAACGCAGCTTTGTCTATGCTGCCGGCGACGCTGTTGTCGGCGGCGCACGCACCGTGGCGCGCACATTTAAACGCATGTCCCTCATCGAATCCGGCAGCAACAACAACAACAGCAGCAACAGCGCCGGCAGCAGCCTGCGAGAGCGCGCTACAAAAGAGAGCAGCGCACAAGATGGCGTCGAGCGGCTCAAGGCGAATGCCAAGCTTAAACAACACTACAATTCCACGCCGTAAGTGCACAGCGAATTCGATACTTGAATAGAGCGAATTGGAGCCACGCTTTAAAAGAGCATTAGAACTAGAGCGAAAAGGGGCTTGATTAAGTGAAGCGAATTCGCGTTTGTTTTGCATAAATTTGGAAAGTCAAGTGTTACTCAAAGCTGAAGGTTGTTTAAGAACAGTGCATTAGTCATGATGATGACGTAGCAAAGTACATTGAAATTTTGCACTAGCCGCGAGCTACAGTTAACTCTAGTTATATGAATTCTATCAACATTTGCTTCGTGTTTTTTCTACATACAAACACATTAGGGCTTTCTTCCTGCTACGAAAAGGTGTCAGAGGAAAAGAAAATTGACAATTTAAACTAACTAGTCTAAAGAACAATAGCCTCATTGGACTATGCGCAAAATACGTTACATTTGCAAAAATTCACATTCTGCGATTCCATTAGCAAGTGACAGTTGTCGCTAACATTTGAATGGCAAAAGTACCGCATCTTTGAATCAACAGCTGATCGGTTTAATTTGGTTGCTTGTGATTAAACATACATGAAACACACACACATATGTATTTCACATTAGCAAAAAATGTTACATTCGAGAAAAATGTCAGAAATGTTGACAGTGGAATTAGGCAATAATCCAGGCAACTATTCGTTAGTAAAGCATTCAATGACTAAATTAAATGAAGCCTGTTTTCATTCAATTTATGGAAAGTTTGAGGGCCACGTATTTAATATGGAAACAGAATAATTAAAGGTTGTCTTGCAATATCTAAACTTTACTAGAATTCTTGCTAGTAATAGTACATATATTTTTATTGATCTGCAAAGAAAGTGTTCAGATTTTGTTCTTCTCCGAACTTTTCCGCTTCTATTAACATTTAAATCGTAGCTACGTTCGATGCCCTGTTGATATACAGGAACAATAACGTAACAGCCTTACGTAACGTAACATTTTCATTTCCATATCCCTAATCCAAAACCGTGAATCGCAATTCGTAACGCAATTACGTGAGTCTGTTGTAAGACTTATATTTAAACGCTTTCTTTGTTTCTACCGCAATCTTTTCCCCAGAGCCAGCCCCGTAGCATATTTCATAATACTCGCCCGGCACTTGACATTTACCCGATAACCCAATTGGCTTTTGGCGAACCTTTGACTGAGAAAAGAAACAAATAAAACAAAAAAAAAAACATTTATCGTTGAACAATGACAACATTTTGACGAGATGATTCAACATTCAGCCAGACAGAGTTTTCAGACCAGTTTAGTCTTATATTTGCCCAAACCCCAAAAAACTACGTACAGCCAGAAACTCGAAGCTTAACCCCGAATGGTGTCAAATGACGCTCGACAGCTTTATCCTATATATAGTATAGTATAGTATTCAGCTATAGGTCGGTCAACTCCGGGAGATTGGCTGCTGAGCCGACGCTTCGGCTGATTCATGCGCCGTTTCGTGGTATAGATAAAAAGTATATATAAATGCCACCTTATCGGGCTTTATTTTGGAATGTGTTCATTGGGGGGTAGACTAGCTCAGACTATTAGATCATTGTGATCCGAGACAGCGTGGTGCGACAGAGGGACAGAGAGAAAGTGGAAGAGAGAGCGTGAGGGTTGTCCATTGTAAATCCTTAGAATGTCGGCAGCTTCGTCTGGCGATAAGCTCTCTCAATATATCAATGTACAAAAGGAAAAAAAAAACAAACAAATAGCTCTAGTCGAGTGTGCCCGACTAGCGGATACCCTGGGCTACTTCGGCTGCTTTTGAATAACTTTTATAAAATCGAAATATGTTCAATAAGTGTATACGCTAGTTAACACCACAATCGAAATTGGAAGTCTCTAGCTCTTATAATGCCTAAGCTAGGCGTTAACATGATTTTTTCAAAATCGATATTTATCGATAATATGGCAGACACAAGGGATATCGTTGCAAGTTTTCAAAATCGATATCTAATAAAATTAATATGCATTCAATTTACAGTCTTTCTCTTAATCTCTTAATCGTACTTAAAAATCGATATTTATCGATATGTACATCGCAAAAGATATCGGACTGTGTATAATAGCAAAAGTGCATATATATTCATTTCAAGTCTTTAAATCCTTTAAAAAATCGTTATTTATCGATAAAATTAAAATCGTACATACATTTGCACAGAACCGATATACCCTCCTTTTGTCATTTTGCCAATTTTTACAGGGTATACTAATAGCTCATCAAGATTGATTGTTAACGATGACGCTGACATTACCCGATCGCTTTTTTACACCTGGTGTCTATCTCGAATCGAGTCGAGCAGCTGGCAACGGTTAGCATTTCCCCGTGGGCGGCGTATCGCTTATTTTACTGCATTCAATTGGGCCATAAACCGTTAAAGGTGTTCCACCAGTTGGCCATGTTCCATCGTAAACTTCTGATAGCCCATCGATTGGCCTCAGTCTAACCCGTCGCCAGTTCACATGAAGATGAAGCTAAAGCTGAGGCTCTCGACAAGCCTAAGACTTATCTAGAAGGCTTTCCGCACCTCGATTATTCGATTCTAGCAAAGGCGATAAGTCTGTGACCATGGTCGGGCGTTTGGTGTATCTTTAGGCAAAGGCCCGATAAAGCTGTCCACTGTACACAGTACAAAAGATTGGACTCTATCACAATCAGCTGGAACTGCAGCACGTTTTGTTCTCAATTTACAGTCTTTGCATGTGCTTAAGTATTAGTAAATGTGTGTGTGTATGTGTGTGTGTGTGTATTGGTGAGCTTTTGCCTGCATAGCTGAGTGTACCGTGATAGAGCTTTAAAGCTCTATATGGGAGCTTCACATAAGAAAGAGAGGGAGAGAGAGTGAGAGTAACTGGGAGAAAGTAAGAAGTAAAGATGCAAATTTTATACAAAGCATTTCTTTTGCAATAGCTTTCGATATGCTTTTAGCAGCTTGAGATGTTTGTTGATTTTTAGAAAAAATTAACTAACCAACTGTCACATCCTTGACTTATGATCATCATTTGACAGTCGGTTGTAAGATGATTGGCAAGCGGCTTAACTAGCTGTTTAATATCGCATTTAACAAACTCTACAAGTACCTGTCAAATGTTTAACAGGCAGCTTAACTACGTCTTAAACTAAAATTTAAATCAAATGTTGCCATCTGGGGATAAATGCACATATGGCAACGCCATGCTGCAATTAGACTTCGTTGAATGTTACCATCCCGCTCGAATTGGCGTTGCCAAGTTGAACTTCAACTCTCCATATATTGAAACATTTCCTTGGAATTCTAACTTGGAGACTTAATTAAACACTCTTCCCTTCTCTCTGCCACCTTACAGTTCCCTGCCCCAGAGCTACAGCAGCTCCGTCGGACCGCTGCAGTCGAGCGGCAGTGCCCAGAGCCTCGCCAGCAGTCCCAGTTCCAGTGCCCGGAACAGTCAAACCCTTGGCCAGGGCCAGGGCAAAGGCCTCAACACGGCCAAGCAACATGATCAGCAGGCGTCGGCGGTGGCAGCGATCTCTTCAACATCTGCCGCCGCTGGCGCTGCCGCCGCCGCCGCTGCTGCTGCTGCTGCGGCCAGCGCTGGCGTTGCGGCAACATCAGCAGCTGCAGGCGGCGCAGTTGCCGTAACGCCGCCCGACAAGGAGAAGAAACGCAAGGAAGTCTCCAGTTCGCGCGTGAAAAAGTTTCATCGCCATTTCTCGCAGGTCTCCAAAGATGAGAAGCTTATCAATTGTAAGTACTCGCTAACGTGAAAAGTCATGATTTGACTCAGAAACATTCAATGATAAGTTTAAGCTGAGTAAATCCCAACATAACTGTACTTTTCTCTCCCTTTGTAGACGTTAGGCTGAGCCATTTAAACAGACTTGATCCCAGCATAACATTACTTTTCTCGCAATACACTTAATTCTCCCTCTCCCTCTCCCTTTGTTGACGTAGGCCTGGGGTATTTACGCAGACAGAATCCCAAAGTAATTGTGCTTTTCTATTAATTCCGTTTCCCTTTGTAGACTTTCGCCTGGGCTATTTAAGCTGACTAAATCCCAACATAACTGTACTTTTCTCTCCCTTTGTAGACTTGGCAACATAACTGTACTTAATATCG